ATGCATGCGTATAACCAATGGTCAGGGACACTGGGGTGGTTGGGGCTTGACCTGGGGGGCGGGAGTGGCAGGGGAGGGGTCAATCAGGGGAAAAGAAGACATATGCAATAATTTTAACAATGAGAAAGAAAGGAACGCCCTAACTGTTTTCGCTCAGTGGATAGAGCGTTGGCCTGCGGACTCAAGGGTCCCGGGTTCGATTCCGGTCAAGGGCATGCACCTTGGTTGCAGTCACATCCCCCGGAGGGGGTGTGCAGGAGGCACCTGATCGATGTTCCTCTTTCTCATTGATGTTTCTAACTCTCCCTCTCCCTTCCTCTCTGTAAAAAATCAATAAAATATATTTAAATAAACAAATAATTGTTTGCTGTTTGGGCCACCCAGTCCATGGTAATTCTGTATATAGCAGCCCAAGGCAGGGACCTTTATGTATCCTTTAACCTACCCCAGGAGCACTTCCTTCTGTGAGTTATAGCTACCGATTAGCATTTAACGACAGCCCAGCCGGCTCCGGCTCCGGCTCCGGCTCTGTGGTTGAGCTTCCACCATGAGCCAGGAGGTCATGGTTTGATTCCTGGGCAGGGCACATGCCCGGGTTGCGGGCTGGATCCCCAATAGGGGCATGCAGGAGGCAGCTGATGGATGTTTCTCTATCATCAATGTTTCTATCCCTCTCTCTTCCTCTCTTTCTAAAAATCAACAGGGGAGAGGGGGGAAATATCCTCAGGTGAGGATTAACCAAAATTAAAGTCTGAGAGATGGTCTGATCTTCTCGTCGGATGGGGAACAGAATCATAGCATCACCATGACGTGTCGAAACTGGGAGAACTCCACGTAGGCTTGGCCGGGAGGGAGGAAGTAGATTTAGGAGGTCGTACAGCAGCCAGTTATTACAATAAAACATTTATTAAGCTGTCATTTTCACAATATTTTAATTCTGTTCTGAAATCAGTCTACAAAGATCTCTACATGACACCGAAGCCAGTTATTTTCATAAATGAACAGGAATGTATCGCTTTGCCAAAAAAATACAAACAAGCCTTATACATTTAGGTCTATATGCGATATCTGTAGGGTCAATTTCCCAAGGCTCACGGCACTAAAACTGTGTACACCACACACGCACACACACGCACACACACACGTACCACTATATTGAAATCAGGTGTTTTATAGTAAATGTCAAATTAAATGCTCTATCAAATTCATAACCAGGTACACAAAATATTGAATCAGGAAAGCACTGTGGACAGGGGCACCAATGGGATTCCCGGCGAAGCAAGAGAAATGGCTTTGCTGAATGTGGAGGGAGCGCTCATCACCGTCGCCGTCACCAGAAATCAACGGAATTACCCGGCCCTCGAAGATGGCACGCACGAGCAGGAATTAAATGGACACTCAGACCGTTAAACCTGCGAGAAGACCCTGGAACATATGGCCCCGGCCGCCACTCGCCGCCCCAGGTTTCAGATGCAATTGATGATCCGCTTTGGGTGCCACCCCAAGGGCGATGCTGGCCCCCGCGTGGCTACCACAGGTCAAGGGATCGCTCGCTGGAGAGCAGAGTGAGGAAGGCAGTGCACGGACCAAGGTCTGTGTGCCCAGGTGCTGGGCGTCGTACCGACGGCCGCCTAACACCACGTTTAAGGGGCCTGCGTCAGGCCCTGCCAAACTAGATATAATTCTATTATTCACAAGCGAGGCGCAGAAGTCCAACAACTCAAATGGCCAAGAACAAAAACTTTGCAGAACAGTGATCTCTTATTAGAAAAATAAAGTTGGGGGGAAGGGGACGGGGGGTTGACACCTTAGGGTCTCAGGAATTTCTTCTCCTGTGTGTGTCTTGTTTTATTTTAAATATATTTTTATTGCTTTCAGAGAAGACAGAGGGATAAATAGAAGCAACAATGATGAATCATGGATTGGCTGCCTCCTGCACGCCCCCTCCTGGGGATGGAGCCAGCAACATGCGCCCTGACCGGTACTCAAACCAGTGACCTCTTGGTTCATAGGTCCATGCTCAACCACTGAGCTACACGGGCCGGGCTCAAGCATTCCTTGCAACGTGAGCAAGCCCGGTGGCAGAGAGCTGGGGTTTGGGGTGAGTCCACACCCGGCCGGGGGAAGGTCCCGGGCATCAACCGCCAGGCAGATGTCATTCATCCGAAGCGCCTCAAGCAGCAGGAAGCAGGGGAAGGAAGCCATTTCGGATCTTTAGCGCTGGTGTTGGCTATTGGGTGTGTTATCCTGAATCGCTGCACAGAACCGCGGCTTCAGACACAGACTAACAGCCCAAGTGGTTTCCGCGGTCCCCACGAGCCAGCCCTCGTGGGCGTGCAAAGTCACGAGCCTCGCAGCCCCCGACCCTGACCTGGCACGGTCCCCAGTTCGCCTGTCTCCGCTTACCCTGCGTGTGACAGGTTACGTGTGGCCCTGCCTGGCGTGGCTCAGCTCATGTCCAGGCGCCTGAGTATTAAAAACCTTTCAACAGCATTAACCCCTATGTGTCCTCAGGCAGCCGCCTTGATAAACGAAGACCCCCGCACAGGCCCTGGCCAGGGTGGCTCAGTTGGTTGGGCGTCCTCACGTGCACCAAAAGGTTGCCAGGTTCACCCTGGCCAGTTTGGCTCAGTGGATAGAGCCTCAGCCTGCGGACTCGAGGGTCCCGGGTTCGATTCCGGTCAAGGGCATGTACCTTGGTTGCGGGCACATCCCCAGTGGGGAGTGTGCAGGAGGCAGCTGATCGATGTTTCTCTCTCATCGATGTTTCTGACTCTCTATCCCTCTCCCTTCCTCTACTGTAAGAAGTCAATAAAATATATTAAAAAATAAAAATAAAAGTTCCCGGTCAGGCCGAAGCCGGTTTGGCTCAGTGGATGGAGCGTCGGCCTGCGGACTGAGGGGTCCCAGGTTCGATTCCAGTCGAGGGCATGTGCCTGGGTTGCGGGCACATCCCCAGTGGGAGATGTGCAGGAGGCAGCTGATCAATGTCTCTCTCTCATCGATGTTTCTAACTCTCTGTCTCTCTCCCTTCCTCTCTGTGAAAAATCAATAAAATATATTTAAAAAAAAAAAAAGTTCCCGGTCAGGGCACATGCCCAGGTAGCAGCCTCGATCCCCAGCAGGGGGCGTGCAGGAGGCGGCCGATCATTGCTTCTCTCTTCCTCTCCCTTCCTCTTTCTAAAAATCAATAAGAATATATTTTTTTAAAAAATATGAAGATGCCCTAGCCAGTTGGCTCAGTGGATAGAGCATTGGCCTGCAGACTGAAGGGTCCCGGGTTTGATTCCAGTCAAGGGCATATGCCCAGGTTGCAGGTTCGATCCCCAGCAGGGGGCATGCAGAAGGCAGCCGATCCATGATCCGCTGTCTATCATTGATGTTTCTCTCTCTCTCTTCCTCTCTGAAGTCAATAAAAATATATTAAAAAATAAAAAATACAAAGACGCCAGCACAAGCCACAGGGCAAACGCTCAGGCAGTCCTGTCACTGCAACTGTGTGTCGGGACTCCCTGGGCCCTAGAAGCCCCGGCGGCCGCTGAGAGGGGGCAGTGCTGACGAGTGCGGGGATGAGAACGCGGACGCAGGGAAGGCTCCCACCCAACGCGTTGCTTCCAGCGCATCAGGCACCAGGTCGCTCTAAACATCGGTCCCAAAACAGCCACACCAACCCCGCCACGGACAGGGAGGTGGTCCTTTTTTTTTTTTCTTTTCTTGACTATTTTCTGTTGTGGGTATTTCCTGGAGCCCCGGGAAGTTAACACTGACGGAGACCCGACCACACTGAGTCTCGCTTACAACGGCGCCCGGCAGTTCTCACCAGGATGTGTTCCTGTCCCACCTAACGAAGCGTTACCCTGACATCGTCCACAGCCCTGGAGATAGGAAAAGGTTTCTCTTCCAGGGATGAGATACGGTACAAAAATACTTTTTCCCACGTACAAAAGAGAGGACAAAGAAAGAGATGGAGGTGGGGAGAGCGGGGGGCAGGGGGCACGGGAGGCCAAATACCCTACCAGCTTCCATGGAATGGAGAAAGAAAGGAAAAAATTCCCACACTCTCTGGGGTTGAGAATATGCCCAAACCGAAGCCAAGTTTCTGCCTGGGTCCTGGTCGGGGCGCGTGCAGGAGGCAACCCATCGGTGTGTCTCTCTCACATCGATGTTTCTTTTCTCGCTGTCTCTCCCTCTCCTCTCTCTTCCACGCTCTCTAAAAATCAACGGAAAAATATCCTCCGGTGAGGATTAAACACTAAACAGGCAACAAACAGCCCTGACCGGTGTGGCTCAGTGGATAGAGCATCGGCCTGCGGACTGAAGGGTCCGGGGTTCGATTCTGGTCAAGGGCATGTACCTGGGTTGCGGGCACATCCCCAGTGGGGGGTGTGCAGGAGGCAGCTGGTCGATGTTTCTCTCTCGTCGATGTTTCTGACTCTCTGTCCCTCTCCCTTCCTCTCTGTAAAAAATCAATAAAATATATCTTAAAAAACGCAACAAACAAACAAACCGAAAGCCCTCGAGAGCGTATCTTTCCCACGAAGGCCCCGCTGGCCCACGGCGAGACTGGGGCTTCCAAGAGGTTCCGGAGAGAGCCTGGCCGCCTGCCCACGGCGCTCCTGGCATCCGACCCCAAAACTCCTGGAGTTTTTCCCTTTCCAAAATGTGGAGCCTAAAATATATCCATGTACAAAAGGGGGGGAAATACTCAGGTTTTCCTCCGAGAACGAGTTCCTCCCTTAGACACAGCATTGCCGGGGGCGTGGCTGGGCCCCTAGGACCCAGGAGACGTGTCTGTGTCCTTAGCCTCGAGCCCAACCGTCCACATTCAGGGGCGACAACGTGGATGGATTCGGTCAACATCCACCCAAAACAATGTCGGCCGGAGCTCACCTCCCAGGAACGTGAGCTCACGCCCGGGGAACCCCCGCGTCCGTCCCTTTCCTGCCACGTCGAATGAGCACGTTCTGCCTCCTCCACGTCAAGTGTTAAGGAACGGGACTCGCATCTGCCTTTATTTTTTTTTTTTAAAAAACAACCACCTTACAAAAGATGTTCTCTAAGGGCTGGGGAGGGGGGCGGGGGGGAGATCCACGGGTTGCTCTACGGGGACACACGTCTGTGACTGTACAGCGGACAGGGTCCGTCCTCTGTTGAAAAAATACCTCTCTGTCCCGCGGACCACCCCGGCAGGCGCCCCGAGAGTCTGCCCGCGGCGGCCGAAACACCCTCACAGAGCGCCCCCCGCGGGCTCAGGCACCTTTATTTAAA